ACTTATATTTAAAGAAATCGCCGCTGTAGGATCACGTAAGTACCAATAGCCTTGTGACTCTCTCTAGTTCTGTTTCCTCAATTGTCAATACTCCTATAAGTTTTTGTTGTTGTTGGTCACATGTCCATTTCCCTTGGTTAATTATTGGTGTCGCAGTCGTAAATACAAAAATATGTTTTTTATCATCAACCAAGGAAATTTCTTTAATTCATTTATACTATTGCTAAACTGAGACTACTGGCCAGCCTGGCTGGTGGCAATCGAAGGAAACAAAAAAATTCCTGAGCGGTGCATCTACATCTCCTCTCCATGCCTCGCGCGATGTCGCCCCTCTTTTACTCGTCTCTACGGTTCGAAAACACTTTTCCTTTATCTCACACCATAGCGACAACTGTTACGCACGATAGAAACTATAGGCCTCCTAGATGTGTTTGAAACGCTTGGTATTTCTCTTAGTAAGGATTTAGGCTCAGTTAGATGATGACGATGACGATGACGATGATGAAGACGACGAATTATTTATCAGTTGTATTGATGCAATTTTATAGTTCTTTGCACCACTTGCCGGAAGAAGGATTCTGAGCGACTGTTGGTTTTGGGATGGCACAGTTCTACCAAAGGTTCAGTAAACTAGGAAGCTGCAGATTCTGAGAGGTTTGTTGAATATTATATTGTTGTTAAGATACCTCACCACGCAAGGTGTTTATTCGCATGCACGTCATGCATCGAAAGTGCATGCCAAGCACGAAACTAAGACAAAGGTTGTATTGGTGGCTGCAGATTTCAATGGGATCACACAGTTACCCCTCTTTTCCTTCGTGAATCCCTTTCTTTACGGAATCGTTCCTTCAAAGAGACGACATGAAACATATTGAACATGTTCAATAATGTCCGTTCATACCGTGAATAAGATTGTTTTATCTTATAGAACGGCCAAAGCTGATGCAAGAACAGCCATAGGAGCACATGCTGCTGAAATGGAGACAATACCATTTCGTCAGATTTCTAACCCTAACAGGAAACCCTTTTCCAGTCCCTCTTGGACTCCTGCAGGTCCTTAAGCAAACAGAGATTTTCGCTGCTTACAATGCTGCGATGGACGAGGTTGCCAGAAAATTCCTCGCAGGCGACAGTCACTACCATCACAGCTTGTCTCGTGGGAAAAAAGCAGTCCAGCCCAGCGACAGTTCTACACCATGCGTATAGGTACTCGGTTAGCACATTAAAAAAACTTCACTCGCCATATGGAAAGTTGTCTACACGACAAATACAGGAACGATAGGTCCCGGTCAAGTGACTGAGGAGAAGATACATCATCGTGGTCGCATTAATGTGACCCATGTCGATCATTTCGTCGAGTTCATTAATCGTCCATACTTTTCTCAAGACGTGTCTTACGGAACTAAATTCCTTAACCTAGGGAGATACCTAAACCATCGAGATACCGAACGCGGTGCGTACCGTGAAGCGGTCTGCGATGATTAGCCAGTACATACAATTCTGTCAGGAGGAGAAGTTTGAACCTCTCAGTCGCACCACTTTATTCAAGATCCTAGAAGCCGGACAAGCCTCACAGAGAAAGTCGTTTCAGGACCTCGACAACACTGCTGCTGATGGCTCTGCTGGTTTCCAGAAAATTGAAATTATTGTCGATGATCTAGAGAAAGGAGGAATGAATAGGTAATGGTGCGCTGAGGTTAAAGAAAGGCTTAAGAGTAGAAAACGCTACTTAAAGACCAACTATCGCGTTTACCGAAATACAGAGGAAGCTTTATGTCCTGATCATTGCCGCAAGTTCGCTTTAAGTGACGAACAAGATCCCGACTTCCGGGAGAAATGCTCTCATCAACACACAGAAAACTGTAACGAGTGTCAAAATCTGCGAAATGTCTTAGAT